TTTCTTCTCTCTCTCTCTCTCTCTCTCTCTCTCTCTCTCTCAAATGTCCACGTCTCCACACTACAAGGGAGAGCAGAATAATTCGACCATTAAGGTAATTCCTTTCACAGCAAAGTAATGCATGGTCCAGTCTCCGGGTGCAGTTAGTCCTGCATCAAGCAACAAGGAGACTCGATCGGAGTTCCAGTATGCACTTGGATGCTCTTCTCATGCATGCATGCATCTTGTGTGTGATGTGATTGCTTTCTCGCTTATGACAGAAAGATGGAGACACCGTCAAGATAGAAGCCACCGCACTCGACGTCACCTGGGGCAACGATCCCCGCTACTGGTCCATTGACAAAACCAGGTAAGGCTTCTTTGATCGTCACAAAGAGAAGTCTTTGATCTTAGCATCATTGATGATGTTTTCCCAATCACTTCATGTTCCTCGTTTGATTTCCTACCCGTATTCTTGTTTCTTTTTCTTTCTGATAAAATCATTTGATTGGGTGACAAATGTTTTGGCTCGAATTTTTATCATCTCATGATTACACTTTTAAACCGAACCCTATTCTACTTGTAATCCGTGAAGTTTCATCCCAAACCTACATAAATGAATAATGAACGAATGAATTGTTTTCGTGTGCAGCTGGAAAATGATGAAGCAGAGAATCTTCTTAGCTTGTTGTCTAAAAACAAAAAATAAATTATATTTGATAGACGACTCTATTTTGTTTATGACTTGTAAATGAATAAATGAAATAATGCACTAAGGAATGATTTTTTTTCTTTTAATATCGTTTCTCGTTGTTTGTTATTCTGTTTTATGTCCCATTAAATGAATGAATGAATGAATGGATGATCTTAGAGGATTTATCTCGTTGCATCAAGTGTCGTAATAAATAAATGAATGATCTTGGAAAACTACAGAGGATCTATCTCGTTGCACCAAGTGTCATGGCTCGAGGTCAGCGGCGTATTCGACAAGAGTGTACTCGACACGGTGAATGCCGGGCTCGATACCTCAAAAACCTATTCATTGAAGTTTAGAGTGAAGATGAAGGCGGACGCCTTCGGGTGGAGTGGCTGCCCGGTGTACCTGATGGTCAAGGATGGCGACACCAAAAAGTTCAAGTGGAAGAAGGTTGACCTAAGCCGACTAACTGCCGGAACGGAGGTGTATATTCCAGAGTCTCCAGACAAGCACACCTTTAGGCCTCCCGCTGACAAACTCACCTTCGGATTGTTTGAGATTTGGAGGGGCAGATGGAAGGGAGGACTCGAGATCTTACAAGTCATCATCGAAAGGGACCAACAATAATCAACATACACACACACACACACACTTCCATATGGTGTGAGCTTATGCCTATTTCGTGTTCAGATTGTATACGAATAAAAGTCTGATGTGGTGGAGAAACGAGGCTTCTCCGTGGTTTGGCATGTAATGTAGTACTTTATGTTTGCGTAACACGAGAATGACTAAATGAATAAACATGTTCCCTTCCGGTGAAGCCAAAAACCTCCTCTTCTATATCAAATGTGATGGAATACTTTTATGTGATGAGTGAAGATGGCAAGGAATCCGACTCGTACGACACCGTCGTTAGATGCTCATCGCATAACGGACGAGGACTGGCCGGCTGCCGAGTGACCCGGTAGGAGCCCCGATTCAAAGAGCTAACAGTGACACCAACTCGAGTTAGGAGCTAAACTTTTGTTCACCATTTGATCTCAAAAACGACTCCAGAAATCCATGGAGAAAGGATTTCTATTCACCGAAAACTTTAGCGTCAGGAGAATCTCTACTGCAGTTTATGGAGTAAGAATGAAGCAAGGTATTGATCTTAAAGCAGCTGACTTTATTCCCTACTTCCGTGGTGCGTGCATGTGTGTGTGTGTTTGTGTTCCTACGACGAGATTTTTTGCCGAAAGCAAAAGGGTGAGCACTTACGTGTGGGAAGAATCCCTTTCGGACGGAGATGGGGGGACCTGTCTCTTCGTGCCTCATGGCTTCCGAATAAACTTTTGCAGCTGGTGATGATAATGCTTGGAGATGCTTGGTTTATTTTTCCTTCTTTTTTCTTTCTTTGTGATGAACATATGCAGCCCGGTGAAGAGGAACACTGTGCCTGTTTATCATCAAATACTGCTTCCAGCACTCCCTGCACGATGAGCAAAGAATTGGGGTCGATCCATCTAAAGGACTCGAGTCGAGGAATCGCCTTCTGCCCAGTATTCTTCCTTCCAACTTTGATCTGATCTCGGAGTACGATGGCTCCTTTGCGGGAACGGGCTATGTCTTCAAGTCTATCTCAGGGAATATTATCACCGCCCGAGGCGATATCACGACACAGCAACCTCGCTTGAGGCTGAATGTTGGACCATTTGGGATCGACTCCAAAAAGCAATTGCTAAAGGCTATCGTAATCTTTTGATCAAGGACTGATTCCTTATGCCTTGTCAACATAATCTCCTACCACTTGCTGGATGTAGAATTCTTATAAAGATGTCTTTCATCTTGCTAATCTTGTGATGGTGGTTGGCTGGCTTCACATTTCCAGAAATAATGACTGGATACCTCGAAGCCTCGCTGACGCTGTTAGAACCACCCATGGATGGGAATTTTGTGGCTCTCATGCTTTCTTATTCAATGAATGTCAATTTTTTTCCTTTTTTAAGTACTGCTTTGAGAACGATTGCTGTAGACTTTAGAGAAAGGAACAAAATTTATTTCAACAGCATTCGGACACATCCAGACTTGATTGAAGGAGCAGAATACTGTAATCTCTTTAGGTAATGGAGAGAATATTGATTGGAGGCCACCATGGTGACTTTCAGGTGCCAGAAAGAAGAAAATATAAGGATATGCATCACTATAAAAAGATAAATTGACAAGTGAGATGGTGACATATAATATATGAGGTGATAGCAACTTGATCAAAGCTTCATGTGAATCTCGAGGGACTTGATTGCCTCTGGAAGTATTGGAGAGATGATAATGCTCGACTGATTGGCATTCTCCTGTGCAAATCGTTGGACAAATTGGGCCGTTTGAGCCGCTCAAAGAAATTAAAAAGAGAGAGAGAAATAGGGTTGTGAGGTGTGTAGCGTGAGGACAGTGTGTGCAGCAAACGTTGATGAGTTTGGATTGGAAGAGAAGAGAGAAGGAGAGAGAAAGATTAGGTTTCTGAGTTTTCTGCTTGACGATCGACAGCCAAACGCACAGAGTGAGTTTTCAACGCGAGGACACAACGTGAGGACACAATGTGAGTTTTCAGCGTGAGGACACAGCATGAGTTTTCAGGTTTCTGAGTTTTCAGCGTGAGGACACAGTGTGCAGCAAACGCACAGAGAGGAGAGAGAAAGATTAGGTTTATGAGTTTTCTGTTTGACGATCGACGACCAAATGTTGTCAGTTTTGACCCAAATTTTATGTGAAGAATCCTTACAGTAAACTCTACAATCCTAATGGTGTTGATCTACAGTTTATCCTCTTTAAGGTACTTTTCTGTTATATCTATTTTGTGAGACCTAAAATTCTCTTACGAGGAGATCAATTTTATGTGATGAATATATGTTATTGTTGAGCCAAAATATATGATCTTGATGTTATTGTGATCATCTAGTTATTCTAGAGAAGATCTATTGTAAATCTGTTATCATTATTATTGATAGTGGAAGTTTGAGGTGGACTAGAGTTCCATGATTTTTTCCACATTGGGTTTTTCACGTTAAAAGATTTGGTCTCACTATGTGATTGATTTTTGCTCTATTATTTATATTTTGCTAGTTAATATTTTTATTTGGATATCAAGTTG